CGAGACTAATGCGTATTATACGTGCGCAAATCTCTCTATTTTTTTTTTTTTTTTTTTTACTCTCGACACTTTTTTCCGCTCCGTTCATGATAAGACAAAAATTGTTAAATTATGATAATATTTATAATGATTTAACGTGATATTACGCCTCGCCGTATGCGGCGGCGCTGCGAACATGCACACGATACATTATAATATAAGAATTTTTCGTGCGTAATTAAATATGTAATTAATGAAGTTTTTTTTTTTTTTTAAATTTGTTTTTATACAAATTCAGTCACTGTGAAAATAACGTTACATGCTGTACATCGCCCTCCACGCACGTATTTAAAGTCCTCTCGTCGGGAACGCTTTCAAAAATATTAAAAATTAAGTAAAAAAACAAAAAACGTACCGTTACGATGTTTTGAGAAGGGCAAACGCTCCCATTCCCCCCTCCCCTGAATCCGTCACTTTCCTCGAGCCTCTGGGGCAGTGGCGTGTCCGGGGTTTTTTTCAATGCGAATATCAATCCTATAAATGGCCGTCGCAGTATCTTCTGGTTTACTCAACTCGACGATAATGATAAATTAAAAACCGGATTCGAAAATAAAAAAAAAAACCCGGATATTCAACCGATAAACTTAACGGGAATACATACGTTTCGGGATTAAATTACTAAATAAATAATACCCCTGATAGATATTTTGTTGAAAAGTCAACGCGGGAGGCAGGGGATAAACCCTTAACCTTCAGTATTCCCTTTCAGTGTGCGGTTCGGATCACGTGTATGCAAAATACCACAATACCCGTGCGAAAAATGCTCAGTTCGTTGTCAATACGGAAAACGTCTGTCCGGCAGTCTGGTCTAATGGCTAGCGTGCGCGCACATTACATTCGCAGTTTTACACGTAGCTGTTATGCGGCGTTTTATTTGTACGTGTGTGTACCTACCGCAATACGCAGCCGGAATTGTTACGACGTTCGGCGACAATTATTTCTAGCGCCATCTGTCCATTCGCCGGAAACGACGCGACGAAAATAATATTATAGCGCAGCCCGTACTATGCGCATACGGTCGGCCGCGGAGACGGGTAATCGGCTATTACAGATTGGGTTAGGTTAGGTCGTATACGGCGATAATAAACGTACAATTTGGATTTAGAAAAACGGCGGCGACCGAACGCGGCCGTAATAAAATACGCTCGCGCCGTGCGCGGGATATTATAAAAACCGCTCTCGAATTGGCGTTGCGGTTGTTGTTGGTTTTGTTTTTTGTTTTTATCCGATATCGAATTTCCCCCCCCCCTCCCGTTTACAACCCGCAATCGCGCACAACTGCACGACCGTTATAGCATAATGACGGGCGTTTATAATCCTTTGCAGAATTTCATCGATCGTACCCACCGCATAAAAACGAGGCAGTTTTTAAAGAACAAGTTTCGTTTTATATTCTATGAATTATTACATCGTTTAGCCGTACGTTATCTGTTCGAAAGCCAACAATTAACGCGTACCATAACGCAATAATCCTTTATAATCCGTGTGATAAATATGTACTCAACTGCAGACTTTTCGGCAATAAATGTATACGGTAATATTGTGTATAGTGCAGATACACATAAATTGTATCATAGCGGCGGACCTCAAATCCTATATGATATAAGATAATACTCGTCTATATACAGGGTGTTTTTATTTTTTTTTTTTACCTTTAACCGGCAATTTTCTCGGAGTGAATTCGATTTATGTTTGTTTTTTTTTTTTTCGCTAATCATTGTGCAGTCGGTTAGGCTTTATTTTAAAACCCGTTTTTAATTTTTTAACCCCATGCACGGAGTTTATCATTTTGTTTTTCAAACAGGAACGCCTCGTTTTCGGACGCGTATTCGAATAGAGAATATTTGTCTAGAAATTTTGTTACGCATAACGCTAATATCAAATTTTCCGTTTATGAATTATAACCGTTTAGAGTTTCGACTGGAAGAGTAAAGGAAGGTGTAAAACTGTTTGAATATTTCTACATTGTCTGCATAATAATTACTTTCAATGCGCCGCACGCATAATACAGCTTTCAGTTGAATACGTCAAGCGAAGTTTTTGTTAACGAACAATATCGCTCTTCGATCAATTGTCGTTCGCGAGCAATTGTTTTTCGATCAAACGTTTTCGAGTAATAATTGAGATGTATCCAAATAAAACACCCTGTATATATGCAATACATATATTATATATTATACGTGTATATATTATTCATCTACAGGTTATTCTCGAGTTCATCATTAACATCCTGTATTATTGTTCTTTATAGGAACCGTAATTGTATAGTATTTTCTCGGGTTAGCCATCTAACGTTGAGAATCGATCGGGGGACTTTCTTTAAAGCCGAACCACTAATATTGTTTAGTATAAACCGAATTCCGAAATTTTCAACCGTTTGAGTGACGTAATGAGCGCATAATGGACGGACGCGGAAAAAATCGTAAAATAGCTTAGGCTAATATTAATAACGCCGAAGTCGCTAGTTTCTTCCGGAAATGGTGAACTGCACGGTACCGACAAGGTGGACGCGAGCGGTTTTTACACGGGAGATGTTGGATAGATAGACGTGATAAATCCCCGCCCTTGAGCTTTTTTTTCCAGATGAGTTTAATGAAAAACGGCGTCTAATTTCGTATCAACCAAACGTTTGGCTTTCACCCGTTGACGAAATCTCGTAAATATACTGCTAAACGGTTGAATGACGATAAAAAAGGACGGACATATTTCGCACGTGGGTGCAGCCACTGTTGTAGGTGAGAAGTTGGAAAGGTAGGATGCAGACGGGAATTCGATGTATATCTGTAAGTGACGATAAACCATTGCTAACGAAAAAAGCGATTCTGAGCAGAGTTAAGTCGATATCGTTGCTTTGTCAACAATATTATTGTTATATTATGGTAAAATGATAACAACAATGATTGTTTAGAAAAATATTAAAATAACTTAATAATAACAACATTACTTTTAATCTTTCAATGTATTCTAACCTAAAGGACCAGGTTTTCATCATCATCTCGAATATTAATGAGAATTTCAAAAAAATCGCCTCTTTACAGTACCGCCCGCAGAGTACATTTCCTTTCAGAAAAGGCGCTTTACTTGATAATCGGAGTAAACTTTCTGGTAAAGAAAAAGTTCCCACGAAAAAAAAAACACCGATATTTTCGATATCGGTCGACACTTAAAAAAAAAAAAAAACCAAGACGCCAGCGTATGTCCATTCGAATGCGCATTAATATGTATAGTTTGTTACGTTCCGGCGTCGAGTGTGGGAGTATGGGAGTGTGGATTATTACAGTCGAGATCATTGTGCTCCGTTTGGTCGAAACGAGAGTACAATATATAAATTGTACGGAGCGGAATTTTTCGTGTGCTGCACGTATGTTTTATTTTTTTTTTTTTTTATATAACTGCACGTGGCTATAATATTATGTATACAGTATAATAGTGTTTTAATGACGTCAGTCCATTCGGAAATAACGAGCTGTGTAAGGTGATTTCCGTGCGACCTTGACATCATCGCGCGAACATAACCTTCTCCGAACGGAAATCGTTGAGAATTTTCTATCGTAACAATAACGCCTACACTAAATGTATATTATTGTACAGGGGACGATGGATATTTATTTTTGATTGTTTACATAAATTCGACCACTGTAACTGTAACAACTGCAATATTGCAACGCCAAAACGTGAATAAAAAAGACAGACCTGTCACGTATATATTTATAGATTTTTGTTTTTTCCAAACTTTTAGATAAATAGTTCGGTAGATGGATAGATAGATAAATAGATAAATACATATTTATTGAAGAAAATATGAATAAATATACATAACACGCCAAAAGGTAAGAGTACAGTAAGCGAAAAAACAAAAATTATCATTAAATTTACATTTTACATTTTTAAACGGAAATCGAAAACTGTAATTGAATTAATAATAATAATTCCATTTTTTAGAAATAATTATTAGGTAATTTATTAGAAATAATTCCAATGGAATGTCATCGGAAATATGAACTAAAATGCCGATGAAAAAAAAAGAAATCTCGCCCTTTATCATTTTTGATATTCATGTCGCCACTACTTATACAGGTGTACAAACAAAAAAAACAACGTTGTATCACATTAATTTATCAAATTCAAGCGGCCACTACACAATATGCATTATTCGCGAGTAGGTCTCGGTCTTATAAATGTAAGACATACAGCAGATTTTTGGTTTTTGATTTTTAGAGGGGTTTGTTTAAGTATTAGAATGAATCAATCTGATATAAAACTCAAAGGGACGAATAATATCTGTGTGTTTACTGTAAACGTTGGTTCCCTCGTTACTTACATACATTTTTAAGCTTGGTGTAGCTTTGATAGGACAAAATCTGGAAGAAGTTAAATAAAGGCTTGAAGAATTGAAAGTGGCACACGAAGGAAAGAGTAATAGGATAAGTATATGTAAAACAGAGTATATAGAGTATGAGTTTGGAGAAACAGCTAGAACAAGATG